ATCTTCTATAGCTTCTGCCCATACCATAGACCTGTTGCAGTGACTGAAACACCAATAACACCTCTGCAAAACCTTGACTCCCTTGCTAGCTTCTAGGATTTCCTCATGCGCATTGAGACCAAAACCCTTTGAATCACTTGAATCAAATGCAGAAAACAGAACCAACTTTGCTTCATAACCTGAAACCCTTTTGATTCAAAAATCTCAGCAGCCTCTTACGAACCACTGAATACCCTGAGATTACTTATCAACAACCTGCTTCAACAACCAAATTCCAGAGCAAAACAACTTGCTCAACTGAATGTTAAAACAGAACAATCACCAGCAGATTTTAAATCACTACCAGCAACCTTTAAACTTGTCTCACATCACCAAAACCTTGTGATATTCTTGAGACACGACCTTACAGCTTCTTGTACATCACTTCTAGAACCCGTGATGTCTCTCTTCAGCTGTAACAACTACCTGCAACACATTTACTTGTGTGCATACTCCTCCAAAACGAATTTGGACCTTGCATCATACAATTTGCAGTCTTTAGTCAAGACCTTCTTCATCTGTAAGATCATTCACTTGACTAACCTGCAACCGACTTCCCATGAGTAAACACTTAAGCATTCTGCTCATAATGCAAACAAGACAACTTAACAATCGTGAGTTGTTGTCTTTCTAATGCAGTTTGATTCTCAGCATTTTTCCATCTTTTGTAGGACTTCTCTTCAGTTTATGACACTAGCTTTGAGATGAGTTGGCCAACTCTTTAACATTCTTGTTGTGAGCAGCCTTGAGACAAAAACCTTGCATCTTCTGCACTTGTCTCTAACAGTTTATTCTTTGTAGAACTCACTGACAAAACCACTTCAACAGCTTCATCTCAAAACAGACAGCTTTGTGTCTTTTCTGAAAAAAACTCAGAAACCTGCAACTCTTTTCTAGAAACCTGCAATTTGTTTCTAGATAATCCTCACCAACAACCAGATTCAAAACAGAACTGAAAGTAACCTTTTACCATCAGATTATAAACTGTTTGAGCTGAATAAGTGTTGATAATCACCTGTTCTTGACTTGCTATCTTCTTAGTACCCAAAACATTGATGAACCTGATACAACCGTGAGTTATGCAGTCTTGTAACTCCTTTTATTTTCAGCCAAAACTCTGAGACAACCTCCATGAACATAGCACCACCAGGAATAGAAAAAATACCCTTTAGGATATGCATTGCTCTTCTTGTAGCAACAATACTCCACCTGAAGCTATAACCACATGGACATACTCTGTCTCTACACGCTCAGCTTCACAAATCCGAGTTAGACCACTCTTCACTGTACCTTTGATCCACTCCCACGTTCTGATGTATCACAATGAGTTACCATGACTTCTTGCTTAAGAAAATGGGTTAAAACGTGGCACACTTTCTTCTTCCTTCATTCAGCCACTCCCATTGATCCATTTGTACCTGAAGAACCACCAAGAACCTTTCTGTTTATCAGCAGCCTTGACTTCTCTTTACTTGGAGCATTCTTCTTGGTATGATAATGCTACAACTTCAGCTGATACACCACCAAACCAATCTTCAATTCCAGAGACCACCAAATCTTGTAATCTACTTTAGACCACCAGAATCTTCTTTTAATGCTTGAAAATCTGATTTAGTAGAAGACTTTCTCTTAGAAAATATTGCTCCACCTGAGATAAGAACTCTTTGTTCTCACAGATTCAATCCTGCAGAATCTACTTATGTTATACTCAACACAAATCTGCAGAAACTTGAATTTTTGCTACTGCCACCTTGTCAAGAGCTTACACATCTTGAAACAAGACTCCAAACAACTTTTATCTTACACTCAAACTCACATAGTTGAGTGTTTTTCCTTCTGTTTTAACAAAACATTTTCAGACTGCAACAAGAGAACAATCTTCATTGCATTCCCTCTACAGAGACAAAACCTGCAGCAAAATCCCTTTCAAAACTCACACAAAAGCCACTGAAGTCTTCAGAACCTTTAGCCTGTCTTCAACAGATTACTTAACTTGCTTCATACCCATTATGCAGCTTCCTTTATACTGAACTTAGAAAACCGTTCTTGATAATTAACAGCCATAAACATACATAACATTCAAGGTTCTAAGGCGTCTCTTACTCCCATAAAATTTATGAATAACCGTGGCTTGAATCACAATCAACACTTGAACACCACCTGCAACTGATTTTACCACCTTGATTGAACCCCAAAACACAGCATGAAACCCATCACTGAATCTTGACCAATCCATTACAAAACCAGTACAAACACTTTGTGTTCCAAACAAGCTTCCATTTCCATTAAAAAAATATGCAGAACTGAGCAAACCTGAATTTTCAATACAGAGCATCACAAACACCTTGTGACTGCAGCGGAATCTCCCATAGCTTGAGTCTTGAAGTTTATGTTGAGATCCTGATAAATAGCTTGAGTCACTGAACTTGAACTCTTGCTTTTCAGAATCACAAACCAGCTGATACTTTCGAAAGACCTTCAGCTAACACCAATCTTTGATTTGTTTCTTCAGCAATGATCAAGAACACCATCTTCAATCACATGCTTCTGGCTTATGTCTCTGAATTTCCTTCTTGTACTTGCAACACTTAAACTTGTTAGTAACCAGATTTCTCTCTCACTATGTTGTAGATTCTTGTATCTTAGAAGCACCTGATTTCATAAATCCATGAAACCACTTCACTTGATTCCAGCTTGATCTGTGCATCTCTCCTCAAGATACAACATGTTTACATCTAACTCTCACACTCACTTAGACACCATAACTGAGCTAGAAATGTTTTTTCAACCCTCTAAGCATCTTATAACCTTCTGCCAAAGCTTTCTCCTTTTGCTTCTTCTGTTGCTCTCTGTTACTAACTTTGTCACAGAGACAGAAAACCTGCAACTGCTTTGCTCTTCTTGACCTTTGAGATGCTGAGAACGAGATGACTCATGCTTCACCAGGATGAGTTTTACAACTCCTTCCTCTCACGTGATATTCACCAAGAGATACCTTGGCTTTCACCATGAGACACTGATGTCTCCACATCTTCCTCAAAACCTGAGAAAACTCAATGATGCTCCACCAAGAAAGAGCCTTACAACATCTTCCTCTCTCTTGCACCATTTACCAAGAGCTACTGATTTGTTGTGCCACCAGAGACGTTGCTGTCTCTACACAACTAAGCTCTTCAAGAAAAGGAATGTGGATGCTTAAGCTAAAAACCTTACTGCTCTAACCTTCCAAAGATCCAACCTTTCTTCACTTTTCTTCAGTCTTCTTCTTTCTCTAGACCATTTCTCTCTTAGATCTGAGTCTACCTTGACTCTCTCTTCTTCTGAACTCCTGGATCTGAGACTTCACTTCCTGAAAGCTCAGTCATCCTTAGAGCTTCACTGCCACGAGTTCTTCTTCCATGAACCATAGCCTCCATGACTAACAAACTTTTCCTCTTCAATACTTGCCAATGACCTGATTCTTGGCTTGAGAGAACCAGAAAAAAAACACAGAACCAGGGCTCTGATACCAATCTGCTAGGATTTAGTGGCTCAAAAGGTGTCTCCTTTAAGAGCATAAACCACATTCAGACCAAGATATGAAGTAGCTTGAAGAATTAAAACAGAGGCCAAAACAGAGAAGTTGCAGGAAAAAACAGAGTATGAGAGAAAGGAGAGAAGAAGGGAAGAAGAAGGAGGGAGCACACACAAGATTTAAGGAGTTCACGCCCATTAACGAGGGTCGCTACATCTCCCCGAGCTTTGCTCGGAATCCACTAGCTTCTTTGAGAGATTATAAATACAGAGATAAACAAGTGACCCAATCTAAATCCCTTCACTAGCTACTTAGAACTCACTATGTTCTATCTCATGTAATTAGAGAAAACAAAGACAAAGCTTAAACTAAATTGTTTTCTCTCTACTCTCACTTTCGGCTACATTGTGTATCTTCTCCCTTTCCTTAGCTCTCTCTCTCTAACATGATACCTTTTTATACTCAAAGCACCTTAGGGTTTCTTGTGCAAATGCAAACCGAAACTAACACACTTCAAACGCCAAAATGTCTCCTTGAGGTGTGATTGCTTCCGCCAAACTTGACTTTCCCATTTTGAACACAAGCAAACAAAATGTCCTTGAGGAGGAGATAAGGTTGCAGCTTGATCAACTTCTACAAGCCGTTACCAATGCCAACGTGGTCCCAAAAGCAACTCAACCATGATTAAATAAATAACCATCTTGGTTAGACTTCTTGTGGTCCCAAACTTGTTCAAAAAACGTGTCTACTTTGAAGATGTATGTGACATCAGGAAGCAGCTCAAGATGGGTGCATGATACTCGTAGCTGAGGATGCTTGTAGCTGACGTGGAACTCATCTGTTGATAACAAAGAAGGAAGTCTCGAATATATCTTAAATATATTTGAGAATCTAGAAAAAGGAAAACTTGTGAAGAAAGGATATGCAACTAGTTTCTAGGGTTTTAATCTTGGGTAGATTGTATAAATAGGAAGTCGGGTAAAGGGTAGTCTACACACTTTGCACCGCAAGCATTAGAATCAGCCTTGAGCTTCGATAGCAAAAGAAGCAAGAAGGTTAGTGTCCTCTTCCCTGATACACAAGCTGTGTGATCGTGTGAAGAGTGGTTTTAGAACTAGGAATCGTTGGGGGCAATCTAGAGTAGAGTTACATAATTCCAAACAATTGTAATCAGTTGATTAAGTTTTTGATTCTAGTTTAATAAAATCAGCGTTGGACTTGGCGCTTTCCAAGTATTTGTCTGTTGCCTGTTTTCTACACTTACATACTTGTTCATCAAGTTATCACAATCTTCACACAGGAACCAAGGGAGAATGACTTGTCGTCAAGGAACTTTTGCATTCTATTGTCCAGGAGAGATAATAATAGTGAGTCGCATTAACTCTACTTGTGAAGTTATTGAAATGTTTTGATAAAGCTCTCTTACGTGACATTTTTCTTTATATAGATACAAGAAGGCAAGCGTTAGGAAGTTCTAATCTACAAGGCAAAAAACCAAAGCTGAATAAGTAAGCAAGTTTGATCGGTTCTGTATATATATCTCTCTCTCTTTTTTAACTCAATATATACGTTTAAGCATATATAAACTCACTATGATTGGTGCAGCTCATCGAAGACTCCTTTCACTATCTACAAGGACGCTACACCGGGGAGTTAAGCAGAGCCATACAAGTCAAAACGAGAGTTTGGTTCTTGGCTCATGCTCGGAGGCAGAGCAGAGGAATAAAGAAAACAATTCTTTACCTGGAAAATGGACAAACATTCAAGGTTCCTCAGAAACCCACTGTGACAACTGCTGCAGCCTCTACATCTCTTTGTCGATGAAGAAGAGTGTACAGAGTAAGTTTGACAAACTTTGAATGGTTTGGCAACAAGGCAGACATGTTTCATTATTGAGACTTGATTATGAAATTACAGGGAGAATGAGAAGAAGAAGAGTGAAACCATCTCATCATCATCATCAAACGTTCGGCCCCTTAATGATGGCCGTGAGATAAAGAAGTATAAAAAGCCTTCTTGATTCATTAAAAGAAATACATTATCTTATGACTTGTGTATCTATCTAACGATGCTTCGCTCATAAAAATAATTTGAAGAGAAACAGTGCAAGTTGGGAAAAACTTACAAAGACAAGAAATTGGTCAAAAAGTTTCTCCGGAGTCTACTAGACAAGTTTCAGGGTCACATCTCGGCGCTTGAAGTTTCAAAGAACTCAGATGAAATGAAATTCAATTAGATCATGGGGATGATGCAAGCCTATGAAATGAGACAGTCACAGAGGAATCAGGCCAAAGGAAAAAATATGGCTTTTGCTGTGGAACAAGGGTCGTCGCACTCTACTAAATTTGATGATCAAGTTGGTCTGATTGTGAAAAGGTACTTCAAGAAGTTTGACAAATCTCAACGGAAGACAGGCCCTGAGATCAGAAGGTCAACCAATGAGTCTAGAAGTGAGTCGGGATCAAGAAAATCAGAAATGCAGTATCATGAATGCGAAGGATATGGTCACTTCAAGACTGAATGCCCAACTGCAAAGAAAAGGACTACCCTCAAGTGTCAAAAGTGCAGCGGGCATGGACATGTCAAGATAGAGTGTGTCTCTCAGGACAAAAGAAGGGACAGATCCTTGATCAGCAAGGAAAAGTCACAATCTGATGAAAGCGAGGAGGATGATGAATCGATTCTCAACTATGTCGCATTTCTGGGAGTTATTGATGAGAATGCTGACTCTGAGGGAGAATCTGAAAATAACGAGGACTTCTCAGACACTGAGATATTGGCTGAAGAAAACAAAACTTTGTGTCTCGCTATGATTACTGCAAAGGAAGAAAAGGAGGATCTACTACATCAGATTAAAGAAAAAGATGCTAAAATCACAGCTTTGGATAAAGCTCTCAGCAGTCACAAGGTGGTGATTGATGAAAAGGATGACATGATCTTTGCGCTACAGTGTGAGGTTGAAGTGGCTGAAAATCAGTTGTCAGATCAAGTCAAGTATGTGGACCTCCTGAAAAGGCTTCTGGTTGAAGAACAGGAAAAGAGTCGTGACCTGAATGGGCGATTGACTGAACAACTGAGAAACATTAAGATGTTGTCCAAGGGAACAAAAGACCTTGACAAACTACTAAGTGTGAGTCAGTCAAGCAAGAGCAACTTTGGTCTTGGATACGTGGGTCAGTCATCCGGTCAGGAGAGGAAGTTTGTCCGAGGATCCGATACTCCTCAACATCCGCGACAAGCAGGTCATCAGAGTAGTACTCAGGCAGACAATCATCAGAATGACAAACCACTGAACAGAGGAGGAACACTGACCAGAGAGGTTGATAGACAAGGGGACAGAAGAACAAAAGTCAGTGAAGTCTATCGATATGGTAGATTGTCTGGTTGCTACTACTGTGGGAAACCAGGACACATTAAGAATCATTGCTACCGCCTTCAAGAAGACATTCAACATCTCATAAATCAGAATCAGTTTTTCTGGAATGGGAAACGTCGAAACCAAGGATGGATCAGGAAACCTACAGCTAATCAGGCTCTCACAGCTGTTTCTACTTGAAAAGGGTCTGAAGACTCCTCCTGGTACTTTGACAGTGGCTGCTCACGACACATGACAGGCTCGCAAGATGGACTGGTTAAGTTTGAGAATGTCTTAGCTGGAAAAGTCACCTTCGGTGGTGGTGCCAGAGGAAAAATCAGAGGTGTTGGAGAAACAAGTGGTCCACACAAACCTCAGCTTGGAGAAGTGTATTTCGTTGATGGATTAAGAGCTAACCTGATCAGTGTCAGTCAACTATGTGATGAAGGCCTCTCTGTGCGGTTCACCAAAGACTCCTGTCAAGCTGTGTCTGGGTGCGGTCAAGTTGTTATGACTGGAGCTCGGACAACCAACAACTGCTACAAGTGGATCGCACCAATAAATCGCTGTTTCAGCGCCACCGTCAACAAATCCAACGAAATGCAACTGTGGCATCAGAAGTTGGGACATATGAATATTCGGACCATGGTTAGACTTGCTGACAAAGAGCTTATTCGCGGGATGCCTAAGCTAAAAGGGGCTGCCGAATTCGTATGTGGACCTTGCACTCAAGGGAAACAAGTACGAGTTCAGCACAAGTCTGTTCCTGATATTCAGACTCATCAACCCCTTGATCTACTGCACATGGATCTAATGGGGCCCATGCAGACTGAGAGCATCAGAGGTAAACGATATGCCTTCGTAATAGTGGATGAATTCACTCGATACTCTTGGGTTCGATTCATACGAGACAAGTCTGACACGTTTGAAAGTTTCCGAATTCTGGCTCTGCAACTCAAAACAGAGAGAAAGACCGGTATAAAGACTATCAAAAGCGACCATGGGGAAGAATTTCAGAATGAAGTACTTGATCGATTCTGTAGTGAACAAGAGATAATCAGGCAGTACTCTGCTCCACGGACACCACAACAGAATGGGGTAGTTGAGAGGAAAAACAGAACCTTGCAAGAGATGGCAAGAGCGATGCTTCATGGGAATCAGGTCGCAAGACATTTCTGGGCTGAGGCACTGAACACTGCTTGCTACATCATCAATCGCGTGTATGTTCGTAAGGGGATTGACAAGACACCATATGAGTTGTGGAAAGGGAAGACACCTAGTGTGAGCTATTTTCATGTGTTTGGATGTCCTTGTTACATCCTAAATGACAAAGATCACCTTGGGAAATTCGACTCGCGTAGCTCTGATGGGATATTTTTGGGGTACTCAGGTACCAGCACAGCCTTTCGAGTGTTTAACAAGCAATCTCGACAAGTTCAAGAGACTGTTAATGTGGTGTTTGACGATCTCCCAACACAGAGCTTTCTCTTTGGTCCTGAAAGTGTGGCGGTGACCCCCACTCAAACATCGGAACAAGTCCCTGCCACTCAATCAGGGGATGAAACGAGTGTTCAAGATCGGAGTCAAGATGACTCGGACAAGGACCCGACTCAAAACGATGATAACCAAACAGAGTCTAACCCTGATGACACCACTGCAATGGCACCTGCTCCAGCATCAGTCCCAAGTGCTAAAGTCAGAAAAGTTCTCAAAGATCATCGCAAGGAGCATGTGATCGGTGACATTGATGGTGAGAGAGTCACACGACACATCAAGCTAGACTTCAAGAATATGGTAAGACTTGCAAGCTTTGTGTCCACAATCGAACCTAAGAATCACAAAGAAGCGTTGATTGATGAGTATTGGATAAAGGCAATGCAAGATGAACTTGAGCAGTTTGAGCGCAACCAAGTGTGGACCTTAGTACCAAGACCATCCGGAGCTAATGTTGTTGGTACCAAGTGGATCTACAAGAACAAGAGTGATGAGCATGGATATGTGGTGCGGAACAAGGCCAGACTGGTAGCTCAGGGCTACTCTCAAGTAGAAGGAATCGACTTTGATGAGACCTTTGCACCTGTTGCTCGTTTGGAATCCATTCGCTTGCTGGTAGGGATGGCGTGCAAACTAAAGTTCAGATTACATCAAATGGATGTTAAGAGTGCGTTTCTGAATGGGTATCTTCAGGAGGAAGTGTTCATTGAGCAGCCTAAAGGATTTGAAGACCCGAAGCATCATGACTATGTGTACAAACTGCAAAAAGCTCTATATGGACTGAAACAAGCTCCTAAGGCATGGTATGAATGGCTGACTTCCTTCCTGATGATGAATGGATACCAGCGCGGAAGTGTTGATAAAACATTATTTACTACCACAAAGAAACATGGGTTTATGGTGGTGCAGATATATGTTGATGATATTGTGTTCGGGGCTACAACTCAGAGATTGGTTGATGAATTTGTCAGCACGATGACAAAAGAATTTGAAATGAGCATGGTTGGCGAGCTGAATTATTTCCTGGGGTTTCAGATCAAGCAGTCAGATGATGGTGTGTTCATAGCTCAGAGCACATATGCCAGGAACCTTGTTAACCGTTTTGGCTTGGACTCCAGTAAAGAGGCTAAGACACCTATGGGTACAAACTGCAAGCTATCCAAAGACACACAAGGGGAGGATGTAGACACAAAGCTGTATCGAAGCATGATAGGGAGCCTGCTCTACCTAACAGCTAGTCGACCTGATCTTAGTCTCAGCGTTGGAATATGCGCAAGATATCAGGCAATGCCTAAAGTATCTCACATGCAAACAGTCAAGAGGATCATCAAGTATGTTAAAGGGACGATCAACATGGGGTTGCAGTACACTAATGACACGAATCAGAACTTGGCGGGGTATTGTGATGCGGACTGGGCTGGTTGCTTAGATGATCGACAAAGCACGAGTGGTGAATGCTTCTTCCTTGGGAACAACCTGATATCATGGCACAGCAAGAAACAGAACAGTGTGTCTCTATCAACTGCCGAGGCCGAGTACATTGCTCTCGGAAGTGGATGTGCACAACTCCTGTGGATGAAACAAATGACAGCTGACTACGGTATGGAATCTAAATCTCTTCTGATCCATTGCGATAATGAGAGTGCTATTAACATTGCTAAGAACCTGGTGCAACACTCACGAACGAAACACATAGATATCAGGCATCATTTCATACGCGAGTTAGTTGAGGAGAAACTGATCGAAATTACACATGTGAGTACTGAATACCAATTAGCGGACTTATTCACTAAACCCTTGGACTTTAACAGATTTATTAATCTAAGAAAGTCCATTGGTGTTTGTGAGAACTAATGGTGTGTGTGAGTGTCTGTGATTCTGGACAGGAGTGCATACAGGGACGGACTCAGAAGTGACGTAAAAACGGTTTCATAAATAATTCTCTGTATATGTAGTGTCCAGTGGAAGAAGGCTGCCTGGGGTGCCGTCATATGTGTGGATGAGTACAAGTGCACTTGTGCGTGAGCTGACATACGAACTGGAGAGTGTGTGAGTCCTCAGTTGATCGATCAACCAAAGCCTTCAAGTAAAAAAAAATAATAAAAAAAAAAGAAAAGAAAAAGAAAAAAAAAGGGGGGGAAGAAGTATGCAACTCTGCTGATCGATCA